CTACAAGTATCGATGGATGCTGCGATTAGCAAACGTCGAGTAAGTGATCGGCATTGATATAACAAAGCAGTGGAAGTATAGGCTAATACAGAGTTGAAGAAATAGTGAAGCAAGCGATAGTAACAAACATTTACGGAATCGTGGATACTGAAGATTCCTTTAGCTCGAATTTTTCAAGCAAACTTCCTGAGGCATGTCCGATCACAGACAACAAATTCGACGAATCAGTGACAATGAGGAGCCTTTATAGGACGTTCCAAAGTGATTCCTGAAGCAATAACATGCTGAAAGCAATGACCATATGGACTGATTCCACTCACCAATGATTCAAGTGGTTGAAAAGCTCATACAGCAACATTCTCTCATTTCTCCCAGGTCTTGCTGGCAGAATTTTATGGTATTCCCTCCAAAAATCAGGCCCATATCCTCCAAACATGTTCATAATCCCTGCTTCAAATTCTGGATCGCAGAATGCACTCGCGGGATCAAATATGACTAGAAATGGTCAAAAATGCTATAGCAAAAAGAGAAAACGCACAAAAAAATGTCGCGATAATAATGTTATGGACCTACCAGGACCGGTATCACAGCTCGCCCAATTTCCACCCCACAAGTCACCATGTACCAGCGCTGGTATTACACCTTTACAGGAAGCAAGAACATCTGTTGCCTTTCTTTCAAGTTCCGGCCAAGCTTCCTTCATATCTCTATCTCCTTTCTGAAAAAATTTTTATTTGAAATACTAAACAAATTCAGGTAAGCTCACCTCGATTAACAAATCGGCTTGGATCTTCAGACGATTTCTAACGAAGAATGTCTGCAAATAAACGTCAGTGTTTGCAGCGCACTTGCTTACAAAATGCTAACCGCCCAGTCATCGCACCATTCGTTGTTTTGAGGTATGAACCCACAGCAAGTAGTCGTGTGGAATCCAAACTGCTTTACGCCTTTTTTGTAATTTCCTGTCTTATAGTCTCCACCAACAAAGCCTTCAGAATGCTCTGAAGCATTGAGGCAGTCTTCATTGTACTTGTGCATTCTGTAACGTTTATATTCAAATAAGGAAAGTCAACAAAAAACATTAGGCAAAACATGCTCACCAAGAAATACCCGAACTCAAATCAAAAATAACATTACATTTTCATTTAACGACCTTGCCAGTTGCGAGCCGAGCTGCACGAGGTCGTGACGATTTCCACCACCCATATCGATGTATTCGGTGACTAGTGCCCATCCATGAGCTAAACCAAATAAAATGCAGATCAAAATACAATGCAGATCTTAATGTTTTGCGCACAGTCATACCAAGCAAGCCCTGCTAAAGATAGAGTCGCCTCCCAACTACATGTTGAGCGGAGCATTGCAGACATACGAGCACTTTGGTAAACTTTTTGAACCCCTATTTCAAAGCAGTGGTGTCTTCGTATTACTTTCCTACCAGAAACTGCCAACGTGTATGTAGTCAAAAGAGGTTCAACGAATGTATAATATGTTCAATTGTCTGCAATGCTCCGCCCAAAGTATAGCGGAGCGAACATAGCAACTGTGACTGAAGTGACTGGAGCATACGGTGATAAACTTGTAACTAAAAGAAAAGAAAAATAAGTAGATCCCCAAACAACTCACCTCCAAGGTTTAGGACACTAATAGGTCGTGGCACACGTACTGCACCAGTTTCAAACATTGCTTTTAACGAGGCAAACTCTCCACGGAACATAGTATCCGACTGAAAAAAAAA